AAGCCATGTTCGTGTTCATGTTTTGAAGCTATGCCTGGCAGCCATGGGCTTACACGCTAGAATGGATTGTCAGCCAGACTGTTCCACATATGCAGCTGTGATTTAGGCATGTGGAAGCTTGGCTGAACTACAAGCCGGGCAAAAGATTCATGCTACCATCTGCCAGCTTGGATTCGAACAGGTTCGTCCAGTAGCAATCGGTTTGTTGGACTGTTATGGAAAGTGTGGCAGCATGAACAGAGCTGAAGAGTGTTTCAACAACATGCCCTCTCCAGATATAATCTGCTGGAACTCATTGCTGGGAGGATATAGTTCATTAGGAGATTCGACTCAAGTATTCAGTCTGGTGAAGAAGATTCAGAAGGCTGGGCTTAACATTGATGCCATCACATTCATTTCTATTCGCACGGCTTGCAGCCATGCAGGCCTGGTGGAAGAGGGGAAACATTACTTCGATTCCATGACAGGATTGGGCATCAGGAAGAGTGTGGAGCACTATAACTGTATAGTCGACATTCTTGGCCGAGCAAACAGACTTGAAGAAGCACTAGTAGTTGTGAACAGCATTCCAGTTGGAGCTGATGCTGTAACTTGGAGGATTCTGCTCGGATCCTGTAGGAAATGGGGGAACGTGGAGATTGGCAAGGTTACATTTGAGGCACTGGTGCAGGCTGTTGGCACAAAGGAAGATGCAAGTGCCTACGTGCTGATGAGTGATCTCTACGGGAGCATGAGTTCTATAGACAAGTTTCTGTAGAATTTGGTTCATATTGTTGAATTTGCTTGGTCGGTAAGTTGACAATCGCTCACAAAGATTGGGTTGGAGTTGGAGTTGAGTCTTGTCTTCTTATGGCTTCGACCCATAGAGCCATGAGTTTCACTTTCTCACTGCACCGGCCAGAAAACTTTCGGAAGAAGGAAATTCTGGAAGATATAGTCTCTTTGACATCATCTACGATATCGCTAGTCCAAAGCTGTAACCAAAAATCAGAAGAGGGAGAGAAAAGAAAAAGCTTTGCTTGAAGCCAGACCTTTGAGGCAACTCTGTCCACAAGTCTGCGCAGCAGGAAACCTTCTCCTAATTTTGCGTGCACTGGACCCCAATTTTCCTGAGACAGAGGACTATAATTCGTGCATTAACCACCACAGTTTTGAGTTGTACCTTGAGCCAGTTCCAAGCTGTGATACCGTTGGTTATTGTTAACCCGGAGAAGATGTCGGTGACGTTTTGAGGCCGCACCTGAAGGAAAAGTATGACAAATATACGAACTTGGAAGAGTAACGGGACTAACCGCTGGGGATAGTGAAAAATTCAAAGCTTCAACGACGAGGACAGGGTCGGAAGATCCTGCCAGTGTGCCTGGGAATGGCAGTTTCAGCTTAGAGATTTGTAGTTTCAGGAGTGAATGACTTACTCAATGCCAGGTTACGTTCCTCCAACTTATCTGAAGATTTGTAAATTTCAAGCAGCTCATCGAATCCATATCGATTACAATCTTTCATCACACTTGCATATGCGGCCTGTGAGAGCAAATTTAGTAAGAGAAGGCAACACTGGTCAAAGACCATTACCTTCAACATGTTTGATGCCAGGGGGACCATCGCCTTGTTCTTGAATCGCCTCTTGGCTTCCAATATGGTTTTCTCATGCCCAAGAACCACTAAAGCATGCAAAAGTTCCTCCCTGAGACCGGAATTCAAATGACTTTCACCTTGAACGGCTTCCCAGCTGAGTTTGCTGGAGAAACTTGACAATAGTAAAAGGCAAATATTATACAGAGAATAGGGACATACCTGGTTGCGTTTTCCATTAGTCCAACTAAGAAATTACTTACTCTTTCTTTTGAACTTGGGATTGCAACAGATACCACATCAAGTAAAGAGAGTGCAACCTGCAGTCATGAACGATATTGGGTTTCGTAAGAACTGCAAAAACCAGAAGCTACACGTACGGTGATCATATGTGACAAGACGGTGGGATCGTCTTCCTGTCTGTAAACCTCCAGGAGAGACAATAAAGCAGACAGGGGCTGTCTTGTGGACTGGCATAAGGCAAACATATCGTCCAGAACACCTGTAATAGGATTGGTCTGGGGATAATTCTGGTAAAGAAAGACCCACCTAGTCTATCGACAGGAGAAAGCCAGCCTGAGGAAATTGAGTCTTTCAAAGCTGTAAGCAGTTGTTCATCATACTCCACGCGATAGAATCCGCTTTGTCCAATGTTAAGTTTCACTACAGTTCGTGCTGGCAGGCGAACTATACACTTTCTGTCCTTGAGCAATATACTTTGTTGGCAGTTGTAAGATCCCGAAATAAGTTTAACAGGAACTATCCATTGCCCCTCGGCGGGCTGTCCACTTGCAAGAAACCGAGTCTAGTGCACGAAAGAAGTTTGCATTTGAGACCAAATATAAAATCTATGAGACAGTCTTACCTGTTCAATCTCTAGCTCATGGTCATTCAGCATTGTGGCCTTCAAAATTGGATACCCGTTCAGCTTTGTCCAAGAGCACATCAAGTCTTTGATTGGTTTTCCAGTTACTTCCTGGATACAATCCCATAAATCGTCTGACTTTGCGTTACTAAAGGCAAATTTCTCCATGTACAGTTGCAAGCCTCTCTGCAGGAGGGAAAAAGAAAAGAAAAGATAGAATTCCACTTGTTCACTTAAGGCTAACTACTGACCTGGATATCCGTTAGACCAACATAGTCTTGCAGCATATAAATTAGTGAGGCTCCCTTGCAATAGCCAATAACATCAAAGACTTCCATGGTTTGACGAGCATGCTGCACTTCCATCTGTGAAAGCAGAGTGTAAAAGAGTATGCTTGATAAAAATTCAGACTTGAGGTACCTCAACTGGATGAGTTGATTCCAAGGCATCCAACTTGAAAGCATCATACATGATTTCTTTGTGAAATTCCATCCAGATGTTCCAGTCGGGGAAAAGATAATCGACAGCCATATAACTAATCTGCAAACCACCAGCATTGATCTTAATCTCAACACTATTGAAAGTACATACCCAAGTAGCCATGCCTTCGTTAAGCCAGATATGAGTCCACCATTCTAGTGTGACAAGGTTACCAAACCACATGTGCCCAACTTCATGAGCCACGTTTATAGCAACCTGCAAAAATACACGGAAAAAATTAGCATCAGTGCACAACGTGCTTCAGATACAATCTCACCTCCTGTTTCTTCAAAGTTGTAGTATTTTCATCTACCAACAAAGCATCATCCAGAAAAACTAT